CTGTACCTTTAGTATATGTACAATAAATTTCACCACTTGTTTTCATATTGTTTTATCTATATTAGTTCTGTTTCATGTCTTCATTCAACAGATATTTCTTGCTCACTCACACCATACTAGGGTGGTTGCTAATGATATCTGTGGTATAAAAGACAGACATAGTCCCTCATGGAACTCACAGTACAATAGAAAAAACAGACACTCAACAAGGAATTACAAATGTCCTGATTATTAAAAATAGTATGCATAGAATTCTAGGAAGGCATATAATAGAGAGTGCTACCCCATTTGAGAGTTAAATGAAAGTACATTTGAAAAAAAATGTCATTTACTATGACATCTGAAAAAGGAGTGTGTCAGGTGGGGGTTAAGCAGGTTAAGTTTAGGGGAAGTATGCATCAGTAAGGAACTAGCTCTGCAAAACCCATGAAGCAAAAGAGCACACAATATGGGCAATAATAAGAAAGACTATCAGTATAAATATTAAAAATGAATGAGAGGAAAATAATAATATTGTGATTAAATAAAATGTATAAGAAAATTATGGCTGGGTGTAGTGACGCCTGTAATTTCAGCACTTAGGCAAGCCAAGGTGGGAGTATCACTTGAGCCCAGGAGTTCAGGATCAGCCTAGGCAACATGAAGAAATCCTACCTCTACAAAACAAAAAAATACAAAAATTAGCTGGGGGTGGTGGTGCATGCCTGTAGTCCCAGATACTTGGGAGGCTGAAGCGGGAAGGTCACTTGAGCCCAGGAGGTCGAGACTACAGTGATCCACGATTGTGCCACTGCACTCCAGCCTGGGCAACAGAGTGAGACCCTGTTTCCAAAAAAAGAAATGAAAAGAAAAGAAAAAAGAAATTACTTTTTCAACTATAAAGTGGAATTATTAGACACAACACAATTTAGCTGTATGAGACTGTGAGAGATAAAATTATGTTGAGGTAAAATAAAAATTTAACTAGAAAGAAAATTCAGTTTGCTAAATCAGGTAAGAAAAATAATTGATGCAGAATCCATAAAACAAAATCTAATAAATGACAAGAAATACAGTTATTCTTTTAGAACAAAGAATTCTGAACCTGTACACCATAAATGGAGGCAGCAGAGTTCAGATGAAAACAGGTAATATGAATAAGACCTGTTGTTGTAAATGTGTCTAGTCAGTACTGAAATAACTATGGGGACTAGGCGCAGTGGCTCATGCCTGTAATTCCAGCACTTTGGGGGGCCAAGGTAGCTAGATGACCTGTGGTTAGGAGTTTGAGACCAGCCTGTCCAACACGGTGAAATCCCACCTCTATTAAAAATACAAATATTAGCTGGGTGTGGTGGTATATGCCTGTAGTCCCAGCTACTCAGGAGGCTGAGGTGGGAGAATTACTAGAACCCTGGAGGCGCAGGCTGCAGTGAGCCAGGATTGTGTCACCGCACTCCAGCCTGGTTGACAGAGCAGGACTCTGTCCCCTCCACCAAAAAAATAGTTTATTAAAAACAAAACAAAA